ACCAAAAGCATTTGACATTTTGACTTGGAAAATTTCTCGGTTCAATTATTAAGGAAAACCGGCACGTGCATACAACTGCAATGTTTGAGTTTCTTTCATTAAACGACAAAACCTAAATTGGTCCCATATTATAATTTTCTCAAATCTTAAACTAAAATCCAAACGTAAGCTACCTACTATGTGGATAAGAGAGAATCCAGTTCATGTTCATGCACTAATCAATCAAGTTGATAATAATAATAATAATAATAATAATAATAATAATAAGGATGTTAAAACGGTACAACTCATTTAAATATAGACATAATATATTAATTAAATATTATGGTTCATGTATGGATAAATCAAGTTGATAAAAAATAGGAAGATGATTGGTGTACAATGTAAAACCCCTACAAATACCTTACATGGGCGGCGTGGGTGGGTGAGTTTTTTGACATTATTTATTTATGTGGAGTCCACACTTTGTGAGATATCTGTAAATTTTCTGTAAGAACTTTTCTGTACACCAAACATTACTCTAAAAAATATGAGAAAATGGTAGCACCCATCCTTAACCATCGCCACCATTTACTATTCTAATTTTGTATTCGTTTTATTCTCAATCTTCATTTATCGTTGTTTATTTGTAGCCATCGCCACCATCAATGAATTGCTTCCAAAAAGGTCAAATTTTCATGTGCTATTCACATGTTAACTTAAGAATAAGAAAGATTATTAGCACTGTAAAATGAATCAAAGATCGACGATAACCAAAGAGAATTGCTTTGACTGATTTGGCTCACACACCAAAACCTTTGTATGAGCAATCAATAGTTCACGTATGGTTATACATGCCCCCTCGTAGGGGTGCAATTAGGATTTTTAACATTTGCGGGTACTAAGGTGATTAATAGTAGTTCTACAATGTCAGCAACACTATAGTGGCTTGTTACGCCATAACAGTGGCGACAATCGATAATTTGTAAAAAGAACGGAATTTGATGAAAACAATAAGACTGGTTATTTTATTTTTTACGATGCTTTGTATTTAACCAAAAAAAAAAATTATTTGTTATTTTTCGGATTTTAGAATTGGAAATAAAAGAAATGCTAAGGTCTTAAATAACTAGAAAGAATGCTACATTGATGTAGGTGTCTTTCTCAGTTGATAAATGGGATAAATACCATTCTCGTTCTTTATAACTGACATTCTTGCACATTACTACTTCTATTAGTAATTACATCGTCTCAAAATTCTTGATTGATACAGATTTTTTCCCTTATCCACTCTTCGTGCTCTTAGCATTCCTTATGACATTTAGTTTCTTAGAAGGATTCCTTTTGGCACGTAGTTTAATTTGGATGGAATCTGAACCTAGTGACTTGACACAACTTTAGCTGAATGCCTTTTCTCGTGCATATTCCTTTGATTTATAGATATTACATAGCTATATAAGGAAATTCTAATTAGTCTATAAAATAGGAATAATTCCTGATCTTATGCTATATTATTAGCCTATACAAGGAAACTACTGTAAATAAACCTCTAATACCCCCCTCAAATTGATGTTGGTGAGTCTACAAGCATCAATTTGTTCACAAGAAAATTATAAGGGAGACGAGTCAGAGGCTTGGTGAAGATATCAACGACCTATTGGATAGAAGAAACATAGGGAAGAGCTATGACTTTGGAATCATAGGCATCCCGCGTGTAATGACGGTTCCCTTCAATATGTTTAGTGCGTCTATGATACACAGGATTAGTCGCAATCTGAATAGCATCGTAGTTGAGAAATGCCAAAGTTTTGCAAGAAGACCACATAACCACACAACTTTTGAACATGCAACGAACATGGCACGATATTTCATCTCGATGAAGGACTTAGAAACACGGTCATGTTTCTTAAATTTCCAAGAAATGAGAGCATCACCCAGAAAAATACACCACCCAGTAGTAGATCGAGATGCGACCACCAAAGACACGAACTTCAATGTAATGTGGTCCAATTCCGATCGCCGCCACAATGAACCACCTACCAACTACAGATAGCCCCGAAAAACACGAGATGACCCAAAAACACGAGATGGCGCCGAAAACACGAGATGACAATCACAAGTACGAGAAATAGGATTTTAGGGCTCTGATACCATAACACAATTTTGGCTGAATGCCTTTTCTCGTGTATATTCCTTTGATTTATAGATATTACATAGCCATATAAGGAAATTCTAATTAGTCTATACAATAGGAATAATTCCCAATCTTATGCTATATTATTAGCCTATACAAGGATGCTACTGTAAATAAACCTCTAATATGACTAACTAAAATTTTAACAAAACTTCAGTGACTTAAATGGTACCCACTGAAAATGAATTTTTTGGTAAACTTCAGTGACCTTGATTGTTTTTCATCCTTCTTCAAATAATTTGTCTCCATTTTATGGGAAAAAAATTTGTTTTCTTCAGGCAACTATCAGTCGATAATATCATCTTATGGGTTGATTTGAGAAATCATATGTGACAAAATTAGACTGAAAAATTAAATTATTGCGCATTAATCTACTCATGTACGTTAGTATATCTACATCCATATATTAAATATAGTTGATCAGTCAAGGGTTAAAAGATTTGTATATCCCCTCATCCCTCTAAAAAAACTCTTAAAAGACGTGGATACCCTAATGTGTAAATTATGTATACAATTTTTGATACATTAAACACTTGGTTACTAGTGCAAGCCATTCGACATTTGGCTATTTTGCTATCATATAAAATTACAAAGACTAATCTTTAAAGGGGACATGGATTTCTTGATTTATACGTTCAAGGAAATAGCTGTGACATAGTATATATTATACATAAAAATTAATAGAAAAAATCACCTTAGGTTACCTAATTAAAATCTAACCTAAGTTGATTGCAATTTGACGGTGAATACGTTAGTCTCACCAACACCACCTCAGAAAAGAGAACTTCAAAAATCAAAATATAAGAGAAATAACGTCACTTTCTACCATTTTATTTTTCTAGAACCCCCGAATTGACAAGCCAGTTAATCTTTGCAATTTTAATCGATTTTGAGTTTTAAAATCGAGAACTTGACGATTCTCGCCTATTCTCTATTCGAGATCAAAATCAAATTTAGTTCGATTCCAATTACTTAACACCAAGAATATAATTATAGTTAGACTATGTCAAAATTATATTTGCACAAACAATTAGAGAAATGCATTTATTTAATTGATTGGACTATGCCAACCTTCTAACCTATCCTCAAGAATATAATTATAGTTAGACCATGTCAAAATTATATTTGCACAAACAATTTGAGAAATGCATTTATTTAATTGATTGGACTATGCCAACCTTCTAACCTATCCTCAAGAATATAATTATAGTTAGACCATGTCAAAATTATATTTGCACAAACAATTTGAGAAATGCATTTATTTAATTGATTGGACTATGCCAACCTTCTAACCTATCTTCTGTTGAGCTGAAAAATTCAAATTCATCCAAGAATACAAATTCTAACATTTACCAGTGCATTACAGAAAAATTTATTTAATCATATTATTCTTCTGAGAATAGGAATTAATAATTGAAGACCTATTAATCTGGAAAAATATTTTTCATATTTTTTACATATCAAAACAATATTACATGTATATTTTTCATTATTCAATTTTAGAAAACATTTTGCTTAAACAATGGTGACAATTCAAATGACTTCAAACGGACGAAGATAAAATGATTTTTATTAGTCTAACTTAAAATTTTAAGTTAATACGTACAAATATAAAGAAGAAAGACACAAGAAAATGAGGAGTATAGCATATATTAGAACAAAATTTACAACAACTCAACTCTTTAACGTACATGGTCTAATTGAGGGTCGACGAAAGAGATTATTTTCTTATAGAAAAACTTTTTTACAACACCATTTGTAAAATAATTTTCAGAAAAAAAAAATCATTTTAACCTGAGCAAATTACTAAAGGAAAAAAAATCTCTTCTTCTGTGTGGCTTCTAGAATACTTTCAGTACTTCCTTAAAACGCAAGTATGAAGTATGAAATGTGTAACCTTATCTTCCTCGATAAATATGCCGGCTTTTCAATGTCAACTTTTGTTGTTCTAGAAGTTTGAGATGCCTTCAAATTCAAGACATGTAAAAAGTGGGTGAAAATCTATCAGAAAGATTTGTTTCAGGACTGATTTCACACGTCATCCTAACTTACTTTTCTAATATTCCGATATGAAAGAGCGTAAATATAAAGTAAAATTCCAAGAGATCCGAAAGATTTAAAGATTTGTTTCTCGTCGAGTAGTGTGGCTTGTTTGTTAATAAATTTTTTTTTTTTTTTTTTTACCTCAAAAATAGAGATCAAACAGAGGCAGTATTTTGACTGTGAATATGTGATTAAAAAATAAGAAAAAAATGTTGAATTTACTAATGAGGTCACATACATAAGATTATGGAGTCGAGATGCAAACGAGATAAAGGATACAATTCAATGGATATGATGTTGAGAAAATGGGAGAATACTACTAAGAATTAGTTTAAACAAAATTAAAAATAAGACCCTTATTTTTTTTTTTAAATTTTTCTCTTCACCAGCAACATTATCAGGTGGATTATTCTCCATATAATCTAAGCAACATTAATCATTAGTAATATTAAAAGAGAAAAAATACAAATGAGTTAGATTTCAATTCTTATTTTATAATTAACAATTACGCAAAATTTCTAAATTTATTATTTTAAAGCTTTTCCCCCCAATTTAAAATTGTATATTTTGGACGTGCACTGTTCACGGAAGTGTCTTGGAAATGCCTCATTAAACAACGTGATAAATTAACCAGGTCAGAAATCACAACCATCGGATGACTCCAAAAAAGTCATCGATCTAACGGTGCATATTCCATCAAAGACTGTCCCAACGTCTCCATTACATAGCGCCTTGATGGAAGCTTCCTATCTCTTGACTCTCCCCTATATATATTCTTTTTCCACTTCTCTTAACTTCAATCTGAACGATTATTGAAAATTAAAATCCATTTCCTCTTCAAAATTTTCCGTCTCTAAAATCCATTTCATCTTTATATTCTCTGGCTAGAATCAATTACACTAGATGGCAAATCCAGCAGAAGTTTCAGCAATTGAACAAATTAGAATGCATCTTCTGGGGGAGTTTTCTCCAACAGAGCTTTCGTTTGCTGCTGAGATCGAAAGAACTAGTAGCATAAATTCATCAGTTTCGAGCTCTCAATCTGACTATTCAGTTTCGATTTCTGAATATTTTATGAATCTTGAGGAGAATGATTTTGATTTTAGCGACTTTTCAAGCCCCGAGTCCGTAGATTTGGTACAAAATCAATTAAATCCTCCAGTTGTAGACCTCACTACACCAAGCGCGGAAAAATTGACTGAGAGGAAGCCTTCATTGAAGATTGAATTGCCGGAGGTGAAGAAATTTGACTGGATCGACTTCTCCGAGTCGACTCATTCGAACACGGTGGCGACGGTGCAGGACAACTCGGCTGTGGAGGAGAAGAGTCATTACAGAGGGGTAAGACGGCGGCCGTGGGGCAAGTACGCGGCGGAGATCAGGGACCCTAAGCGGCGCGGCTCACGGGTCTGGCTTGGGACGTTCGACACCGCCATAGAAGCCGCCAAAGCTTATGACAGTGCGGCGTTCAAGATGCGGGGGAACAAGGCGATTCTGAACTTCCCGCTGGAGATTCGGAAGGAAGTATGCGAATCAGACGCAGACGCCACCGTCGACGTAGGTCGAAAGAGACGGAGAAAAGCGGAGGCAGTGGTGGTGGAAGAAAAAAGGTCGATAAAACCGGAAACGACAGAAAAAAATGAAATGATGCAATGGCCGTTAACGCCGTCATGTTTGAGCTCAGTTTGGGATCAGAGCGCGCACGATACGTATAACTTTTCACCGTTATCTCCGTTTGATTATCCACAGGTTATGGTGAAATGAAAGAAATGCGTGCATAAAATTTTTAGTTTTCCGATGTGCTGTCGTGTACATATACAGCCAACGGATAATGGAAAATGAATATGCTTTCAGATGTTAGCACTAATGCAAGTTCATTTGAATTTTGTTTATCGAGAAATTTTCACAAGCAACATTTAAAAAAGAACTTTACACTCATCTTTTACCATATCTGATTAATTCGAGCTGTGTACCACTTGACAAAATTGACCATCGTGAGCGATACTGAAGGATTAGTCATCTTGAACAAAAAAACAATGGAAGGACCCACGAGCGAAAATGTTTGTGGTCGACTGGGATTGAGGGATCTTTAAACACTCGACCACTAAAACGATAGCAAAATCTGTTTTTTCACTGATCTCATTGGAACCTACCATCAATCCTCGATTGGAGGAACTCCTTAAATCGAAAAATTGAGGAACCAGTACTTAGACGATGGACTTGCAATTGCCCGATTTTGATATGTGAAGATCTATACGCTCTAGAGATCATGGTCATTCCCTTCCCGACAAGTTTAAGTATCTACATAATTGGTATGGCACTATGCCCCTGCAATATATAACCTCTTTAGTAGAGTTTGCAACCAAGTTCTCTCTAGCATTCACCAGTTTTGCTTGCTAGAAGAAAATTGCTATTGGGCTTATAAATATAACTCAAAATAAGTACGAACTATTTAAGATTTCATTACGTCGTTCAACTGGGCTTCACTGAGAGCAATGAACATGTTGATAAATTCTTTTGTTACAACTTTCATAAACGAGTAATGTTATTTACAGTCGTTTATTGTCGTAGTTCATACCTTATATAACAAATCACTAATTGTCACATGTATGCCACGTAGGACGATTGCGATAATGAACGACTACAAATAGCATCATTCTTTACAAACAGTCTAATAAGCCATGAATTTCAAGACATACGTATCTAAGGGACCCCTGGATTCCAATTTCCAAGTGGGATTTGCTCAAGAGTGCATAAAAATGCATGGGCTTAAGGAATCGATGTTTGTCGTCAACTTGCATCTTCAGCTATTTTATTGTCAAGATCTCTTCTTAAAAGAGATTTAAGTTGAATGCTAGTATCAATTAAAGAATTCACTTAGATTTCTTTTGAAGCATAATCAAAGGTTTGAATCTTTAGGCATGCAAATTATGTTAGAGGCCAATTCTTAGTAAGCTAACGGTGCACTAAATAATCCCCATCTGTAATGCTTATAAGGGAAAGTCCCATGATCATTTCAAAAAGAATCAGGTCCAAGCAAAAAGAGAAACAAAGACAACGATTATCGACGTTATAACAAGGAAATGGGCAAAATCGATTATCATTTTCAATCCCACATATATATCATCAAGAGATTCAAGACACCACCTTTACTCAAAAAATATTACAGTTACTTTCCAGTTATTACCTGCTCTAGTTACTCAAAATATAATAATCACTTTTTAAATTGTATTATGTTAAAAATCAGACTTTATTTTTGCTCATTAATTACTAGTTTCATGTTAGATGTGGACTGATTCTCATGTTTCCCTTTCTAGTAGTCAAATTAAGGATGAAGTCAATATACTTTTCCATTACCTAGAAATAATTCAATAATTACAACTATTTTGCACGGAGCCATGTAGTTGGTTTATTCATTGTTGACGTGCTTTTATTGTTTTTATATTCTTTAGATCCAATTTAGGGACAAAGTAAGTTTAAGGGGAAAAAACAACGACAACGAAACGAGGCATGTAACACCATGATAACAAATAATTTTGTTATATGACAGAAAAAGTTTGACAACATTCGTACAGAAAAGACAATAGTTTTTCTTTGAATTTTGAAATAACAAACACAAAAATCCACCATACACAACAAACACAAAAATCCACCATACAGTTAGTGTCAACACATTACTTGAATAATTTCTGTCAATAATTCCTTGCAACTATGGAATTATTCGATAATGAAGGATGCAAGACAAATGGCTTCTAGTTGACTTTAACCAACTCACATCATATAGATATGATTGTTCATGATTAATTGAAAATGTCAACCCTCCTCAAGAGTGCTTAACTAAAATTTTAAGCGGTAGGACTCATTGAAATGTGTGGACAATAATTACGTCATGTCTCTTATAAAAACTAGTCCGATCACTAAGGGCCTCTCCAATGGTTACATTATTGCACCATTTTTTGGTGCAAAATTGCTCCAATGCAAAGCCAAACTTTGCACCATTTTGGTGCAAAATTGTACAAAGTGAATAGTGTTGCACCAAATATGGTGTAAATATGGTACAACACTATTCATTACACCATTTTTTACACCAAATGGTGCAATGTCCATTTTGTCTTTATTTTTCATTTTTCAAAATAATAGTTAAGGGTATTTGTGTCATTTTCATTCTATAATGATAATAATAATGATAATGATAATAATTAATTACACTATTAATTATATTATTAAAGTTTATTATTTTTAATAATATAATCAATAATAATTAACGTGATTGTTAATTAACGTAAAGTTTACGTTTAAAGTTTAATTTAACATAAAATTTATATTATTAAAGTTTGATATTTTTGTAAATTTAACGTAATTGTTTATCATAAATTAATAATATAATCAATTATTTTTGTCAATTTAATATAATATATAAAACACGTGAATAATTTAGTAATCAATATATTTGTTAATTTAACGAAGTTATGATTTAGTAATTTATATAGTTATAGAATAAATAAATAAATAAATAATTTTTTTAAATAAATACATTGTCAAAAATCGAAAGAATGAACAAAGTAATAAATTTTTTTCATTTGGTGTAAGTTTTGATGTAATGGTTGGAGAAAAATTTTAGTTTGATGTAAAATAGTGCAAATTTTGGTGCAGCGTTAGAGATGGCCTAAGGTCCATACCATAATTCTAATATTATGAAGTTGACCTTTTATTTTTGTGAACCATGTTATATGTACAATATTGATTGACAACATCCGATTTGACATTATCACATTCATTCATTTAGAAAAATTATTTTCTACATCTCATGCTTGAATTTGAACAACGCAGAATTGTCAACTAATATTGTAAATTTCGCTTTTTTTCTATTTTCGTTTGTATAGTGGCTGTATAAAAACTCGTCACATTAGACAGAATGACTAAAGTGGCAATTTCTTTATTTTGTTTCATATGGCAAGTAGCTGCGGATAATTGAACAGAGATAATGGAGATAACAGAGGAAAGTTAAATGTCTCATCCCCGTTCTGATCCCAAGCTGAGCTCAAACATGACGGCGTTAATTGCCGTTGCATCATTTCATTTCTTACTGTCGTTTCCAGTTTCATCGATTTCTTTTCTTCCATCACTACCTTCTCTGCTTCTCTCCGCCGCTTTCGCCCTACGTCAACGGTGGCGTCTGGTTCACATACTTCCTTCTGAATCTCCAGCGGGAAGTTCAGAATTGCCTTGCAACCCCGCATCTCGAACGCCGCTCTGTCATAAGCTTTAGCGGCTTCGATGGCGGTGTCGAATGTCCCGAGCCAGACACGTGAGCCACGCCGCTTAGGGTTCCTGATCTCGGCCGCGTATTTTCCCCATGGCCGCCGTCTTACTCCTCTGTAATGAATCTTCTCCACATCGGAGTTGTCCTGCACGTTCGCCACCGAGTTCGACTGAGTCGACTCGGGAAGTTCTATCCAGTCGAATTTCTTTACCACCGGCAATTCAATCTTCAATGAAGGCTTCCTTTCTGTCAATGTTTGCGCCTTTGGTGTAGTGAGGTCTATAACTGGAGGATTTAACTGATTTTGCCCCAAATCTACAGACTCAGGGCTTGAAAAGTCGCTAAAATCAAATTCATTTTGCTCAAGATCCATGAAATAATCAGAAATGGAAACTGAATAGTCAGATTGAGAACTCGAAACTGATGAATGTATACTACTAGTTCTTTCGATCTGAGCAGAAAACGAAAGCTCTCTTGGAGAAAACTCTCCTAGAAGATGCATTCTAATTTGTTCAATTGCAGAAACTTCTGCTGGATTTTCCATCTAATGTAATTAGTTCTAGCCAGAAATATTAAAGAAGAAACGGATTTGATATCACAAAATTTGGAAAAGAAATGGATTTCAATTTTGAATTTAGTTGAGAGTGGAGTAATGAGAGTGGAAAACGAATACATATATACATATATATATACATATATATATATATATATATATATATATATATATATATATATATATAGGGGGGAGAGAGAGAGAGGAAGCTAACGGAGTTGCTGCGTCAGTCTTTGATGGCATATGGGCCGTTAGATTTGATAATTTTTGGATTCATCCAATGGTTGTGATTTCGGACCAGGTCAATTTGTCAAGTTGTTTGATGGACCATTTCCAAGAGACTTCCACATACCGTGCACGTTTAATATTACAATAATTCTATTTCAACAAAGTTGGATTACAAAAAGTGAATTTACAAAGTGTCCGGCTCTGATTTCAAATGATTTAAAAATTTGTTTTTGAAATGATTAGTGTAGATCTAACTTTGTCATCCAACTTTGTCAAAGTTCTTTGTCATTGTAGCATAACTCGATTAATGATAATCCATCCGTTACCATTTTAAAAAATTGGGACAAAGCTTTAAAATAATTAATAATTAAAAAAACTTTGCATAATTAAATTTTAATAATTGTTGTCAACTCCGTTAAATACTATATAGAAGAATATGACCGTTATCCATCATATCAAACTATTAAATTTGAATTTTTATCTCTTATGAAGAGCCCTTAACGACTATATTTTTCATTCTCATTCTTTCGAAAATGGAAAACAAACGGGACCATAGTGGAAGAGTTAAAATTGAAAAAAGAGATTATTTTTAATATGAAGCTTATTCTCACACATCGCTTTTGTTTCCACCCCCTTGTCGTGCTTGGAGTCTTTTTCTTAATTTTTCCTCTCTATCCTCATCTTTAGTCATCGTGGAACCATTTAATTAGAAAGGAAAAATTTATAAATTAAAATTGAAGATCAATTTTGATTAGATTAGAATCGATTTAACCGGCTTAAAGAAAAAAGTATTCCACCATAAGATTTTAAAACAATAATTTAAGTCTTTTACACAAGGTAACAACTAAAACTATTAGTCACTACACATATAGTGAAGTCATTCTCAAAATATTCATTTCTAGAGCTTTTCGAATTACAATATAATTTTTCGAGTAATGTTATTCACCACCATTGGTGCTAAATATTAATTTGGATGACAATTCCCTTGTTTGAGCCCCATTTTTCCATCAAAATACATTTTTCAACGGTGATTTAACATCATTTCAACCACACATTCTTCAATAAAATAATATTATACGCAAATCAAAACAAATTCTTATTTTTAACCACACATTTCCCATCAATACACTATTCAAAAATTCATTTTCTCCTCTAAAATGGGGCTCAAACAAGGGCATTAAAACTGTATCACATGTGATAGATTGATTGCCAAACAAAACAGTGTACAATCCTGATCGAGAAAGATTTATATAGATTGTAAGTCTAATATCACTAATACTAGATGACATTATTCGAATATCTCATAGTTGCACTCGCATAGTTTTAATCTAAAATGTTCTAACTCTTTCTTACAAATTTCATTGTGGTGTCTTGGTTTAAACAAAAACTAGCTATCTTCATATCAAAAGAGTCATGTATCCTCGTAACATAATATCATTTACAAGTGTCAAAATCCTATTACAAGAGATTTCGGAATTCTAGCTCAAGTTGAACATCAAGCTTGCATTCAAATTTGTTTCACAAATATGTAAGTTATAGTTCGTTTAATTTTCTCAAGTTACTCAAATTAGACATGTATCCACTCTTTAAGGATTTGATTGAAAATTGAGTTCACGCTCCTTTTTATTTATTTATTTTTTTTGTGCCTATTTCAAAATAAACAAGATTTGGCGAAAAATTGGTAGGATCGAAATACAAGATTTGTTTTGTTATTTTGTAAATTTTAAGAGTGAAAACTTCTATGGTAAGATCTACACCAAGAACTCATTCCTTACTAAGATAGGATTTAAAATTTAAAAAAACAATTTAGACTTGGCTAAAAATTGTTGTGCTTTGTGCCGAAGAAAGAATAAGCTAACAGAAGAATTACGTGTATATGGTTACTGAAAATGGATATTGATTCTAATTATATTATTTATCATAAGTATTATTATAACAGATATTTTTTACTTTTATGATAATAATAAGTAATATATTCAAATATTTTTCTAAGAAAGTGTACTCAATATAATAATATTACAATAAAAATTTAAATTATCTTTTATGCATCATACTTACTGCAATTCGATTTCTCGATTTCAAGAAATTTCAATTTGTAATGTGAACTATGGAACGAAGAATCTTTACAATTGAAATCTGAGACATAAGTGAATTTCTTTAATTAATTGATATTTTCTAACAAATAAGTAAAAAGGCTAAAAACAAAGTATGAGAAATTACCACTTCAAATATTGATTCTCACAATCCAATGCCAGATGGTACATATTCTTCTATAGACTATAATATAATTTTCTTAAAATTTACTTAACGTCTTAAACAACTTTATATTATTTCACAATCAAATTGACCCCTAAAATTAATTCAAAAGTGGTTTACATATCTAAAACTAATGTCTCGTAAAATAAATTTATTGTTTTCAACTAGGGACCTATTCGATTTGAGAAATTTTCCATGGAAAAAAATTCCATATTTTTCCTTATTTGATTGCAAAAATTTTCTTCCCAATTCATTTTCCATCCCCCGTGACCCATTTTCCTTGGTTTTGTGGAAAACCAATTCTCATGGGTTTGGTGGGAAATCGTTTTCCAGTTTTTATTTTTTTAATTATTTTATTTATTTTTTTGCAATAGAAACAAATAAGATTCACAATTATAACAAATTCTATCCCTTTAATTAACAATTTTCATAAAAACACAAAGTCAAACGAACACTAAAAGATTCAAAATTTCAACATTTTTCAGGTAAAAAATTATAACAATCAAACACATTTAATTAACAATTCTTAGTAAAACAAATTCTAAGCAATTCAATTCACTGAAATTTGTTTTCTTTCTAACCAAGTTTCATTCTTATAATCAAATGGACCATAAGATTATGACGGAATACGTATTATTTTTTGAACATAGTTCAGATACTTAGCTGGATTATTCTGTTTGGACAAGGCCACGTAGGCCCTGTTCGTCCAAGGCACTGAAATGGCGCCCCCCCTATTGGAGGGGGCCCCGTGCATTGTCCTACTTAGCTACACATAAATAAACTTTTTGACTATTTAATAGGACTTCTAGTCTACAACCTTGTTTAAAGTTTAAACATTTCAAACATTTTTTTTTTTATTCCATTTTTTCCTTTTTGTTTCTCTCTTTTCCTGCCCTGCTCATGACACTTCATGAAAAATTATGTACCTTATTATTCTTATCATCCAACTGGACAAAATAAATGATAATGTGCCAATGAAATTTATATGACCCACATTTTGCTTATTATGAGCCATAAAAACAGTGATCTCAATAATTAAAATCACATCCAAACATGTGTAAAAGCTCGTATTAGTGCAACAATTGGAATTTAAGTTTTTCTTATTCTTTTCTATTTTTGGGGAGGCATTTATTATGTTGAAAAAAATTGTTGAATGCAGTAAATGATGTTTGAAATATATGTCCCAATCCCATGTGATGATGTTTTATTGGGTCAAACTCATAATAGTATTCTTTGCTCTTTCACAAAAAAAATACTTTCTTTATTTGGATTAGTTTGACAATTTCTTGTATTCTCTTCTCCCCGTCTTTGTAGGCACTCTCTTGTTTGATTTGCTGACTTTGTCATGTTTTCAGGTAGTTAAGGTTTCATGTTTACTTTAAATTCATTTTATTGACTCCTATTTTGGTTGCTTCTCATCCTATTTTTGACTTTGACTTGGACCAATCATTAATTTCTTCCATTTTCATGCATATCCCGATAGCTAGAAGTATGAAATGAATCGAGATGTTCAAATTTAGAACTAGTCTAAACACGACACCTTTTGGGACATGTTGCACCACGGGCTAACCTGCGTTAGTCTAAATTTGTATATAGTTAATTGTGTGAACCTCTCTTAAAACAAAAAAGTAATAATCTATGTACTAGTAAAATAATATTGTCACTTTTTACATTTTTAAATAACGTAATAAAAAATGTAAAAAGTTATCAAGTTCGATGACCAATATGGTATAGTCGGTTGTGCTGAACTTTATGATGTTCTCTTCAAGCTATGCATGGTAGAACAAATTGGACCATGTTGGCCATTAGAAGGACCATACAAGGTCATAATTGGTTGAAACCTATGATTCTATACAAAGTTTTAGATTAAGCCCTGTTTGTTTTCAAATATTTGAAGAGAATAGTCCACTTTTTGACCCTTTTTTTGCCAGCACCTAAGACCCCACTGCGAGAAAAGAAGTAAAAAATTCACGGTTGAAATAGATGCAACGATCCAAAAATGAATTGAAATTGGGCAAAAATTTGAAAGCAAACGTGGGCTAAATAAGCAAGATCATAAAGAAATTAAATTAACGTGTATATTCATGATAGTTGTGAAACTTCATAGTCAAAGTTTAGGTTAATATATAAGAATATTTAAAAGCATGAGTAAAATTGTGTCAACACAAGATTACCATGACCTTGTATCACATGGTAACAAATAATATACAAAAATGGCGTGTGTTGGCAATTGACATTAACAAATAAGAGGTGTCCAAATATTCAAAAGCACTAATAAACAGTAACATGGCTTAATGTTGTAACTGTAATAATGTGTCACACTTTCGTCTATAGTACAAATATATCATTACACATGTCATTTCAATGCAGAAATAATTGTCACATATAATAGTGACAGTTACATGATATTAAAATCGTATCACATGTGATAGATTGATTGACAAATAAAACAGTGTGCAATCTTGATCCAGAAATATTTATATAGATTGTAAATCTAATATCACTAATGCTAGATGACATTATTCGAATATCTTATAGTTGGACTTGCATAGTCTTTATCTAAAATGTTCGAGTGAATTACCCAAATGATCACTAAACTTTGTAAAAAGTCTTCACGGAGTCAC